GCGCGGGACAAGTCGCGGCATGTGGGCCATGATATGCATGCGGAGGACGTCACTCCAGTCTCTCGGAATGCATCGCGGAACGCCGCATGTGGCTGCCCAACAACCTGCTCAGGCATCTACCGTGCTCGCTGCAGTCACTTGACATCACTAGCAGCGTGCAATCTGCGAATGACTAGAGTCGGCCAAAGAGGGGCTAGATAGCAGCGCAAAGGGCGGTGCCGGCGGCCGTGATGTGGTGGGCGAATGGAAGGCTGAGGGCGCGACATGCACCTGCATAAGCTATGAGCTGCCCCTCAGCACCGCGACCTGGCCAGCGACACAACTAACTGCACTTACGACGCCCTGCATACATATCTCAACACTTGGGAGCTTAGATAGAGCTCCATCCTGACTCACCTCTGCGCGCCCATCCAGACGTCTCTGCATAACGCGCTGAGGGGCCCCATATCTAGCGTGCCGCGTGAAGCTCCAGCCCCGCGGCTCAAACAACAGCCACAACGACCCTCCCGACGATACCGAGTGACAACCAGAGATAGGCCCCGATAACGCGCCGAGTCAGGAACAAGGCACCAGTGTTGTTGTGTATAAGTGTCTTGCTGTGCAAGCACGCGCCCGCCACCTCCACGAGTCCTGGTCACGGAGGCGCATGACGCAACGCCCGTCTAGCATTCATCCCAAGTCACCCGCCGCCGTCCTCATCCGTCGCTACCCCCACAACCTCCCTCGCGCCCACGACACCTACCACTTCCTCACGACTGAGCTAGCGCTCCAACAGACCCTTCCACACGCTCTTCCGCAGGTTATATGAGCTCATCGCCCGACAACGCCGCCGAGCATACGACGCCCGTCTCCAACCTCACCTACTTGCACAAGCAGCAGCGCAAGGGCACCAAGGTACAGGACACACCACAAGCACGCGGCCGCCACACGTCGAGAAATGAGTTGGGAAGAAGAAATAAAGCGGCCGGCAAGGTTACGCGCATATACCCGAGAGAGATGTACGTGAAGCAGCACCACCCTTCCCTACATGGAAGGGGCGATGGTGACTCTTGTTCGTATTCAAACGCGACTGACTGCCACAGAACCAAGTCACCTTCGTCAGCCAAACGTCTGTCATCCACGTCTCCACCCACAAACTACCATGCCACTACGTCTCCATTACTATCGGCGATCGGTGCCACTCGAAACACGGCCGCACAATACACCAACGAGTGGGCCAAGTCGGTTCCCTTCTTTCCAAACTCCGGCTCCCCGGGTAATGGTGGCATCGCTATAGCCAGCTCTCCGCCTACCTTTCATAACTCGCCTGGTGCACGAGACGGACTGTACGCACCACAGGCCATGTCAAACTCACCTCCAGGTGCACGACCCCTGAGCCACCCCAACCAATACACGAACTTTGGTGGGCGCGTACAGAACTCGCCTGGAAGAGACCGTAGAGCATCTGTGTACTCTCAACAAGGCGTTCGCCCGCCCTCACAACAGTTCATGCCGAACCCGCCGCTGCCGCATCAACCTCAAGCACACTACTATGGCTTGCCAAACATAGACTTCGGCCTCAACAACGGCCAGCCCGATGGCATCCAGCCAGGGGAGGGAGGCTACTTCTGTGGCTTCGACACTCTATCCATGGCCGGAGACGAGGCGGCTCGAACTACAGAGAACGTGCTGCTTGTTGGCTCACAAGGTGGACTCGACGTCTTCCGCGTTGAAAAGAGCAAGATGGACATTGTAGGTCGACTGGAAGGACTTCGGGGCGCTGTAATAGGCGCCAAGATCTTGCCTTGGACCTCGCGGCACGATCCCTTAGCTGCTTCCCGTCCACTCATTGCGCTCATTCTTCACGGTCCGGTCGTCAAAGACAGCAGAAGCTCTAGTGGAAGCGGTGCATCCTCTGTGGCTGACGATTCGTCTGAGTCACCTAGTAGGCCGTCCTCACGACATGGAAATCAAGAGGGGCAAATCAGTGGTTACCAAACCACGGTTGAAGTCTACTCACTGAAGGAGAGGCGGAGAATGGCTGTCCTGTATCGAACTCCCCTGGTACCTCTCACGAGCCCAATCGATAGCCCCATGTTTCAGCCTCCACCTCCAGTAGGCGACTTCGTCATTGATGCGAAGGGGAAGTTTGTTGTTGTGGCGTCTGGTGCAAGTGGAGAAGTCTTCGTATTCGCGCCTTACCACGAAGGTCATTCTGAGTATGCAGAGCGATTCCGCTGCATCGGTAAACTGTGGACATCTGTTCAGAATCGGGAACGGGCCATACATTCAAGCGGTTCCAGTGCCGTTGACGGCAGCCATGACGAGATTCCTCCTGAGAAGTATGGCTTGCCTGTGTTTTCGCTCTCCGATCGTTGGCTCGCCGTCACCCCACCAGCGTCAAGCGCGCTCTACCCTGTCAACGGTATAGCCCTGACTTCACCTTACTACGAGCGCGCTCCGGGCCTTGGGCACCACAGCGTACCGCCTCAGCCGTCCCCCAATTGCGCTGTCGATGTGCCCAATGAAGCAGGCTTGATCGATAGACTTACCAGGGAGGGAACACAAGTTGCAATCAAGGGTGCACGCTGGGCCACCGAGAAGGGAATGCAGGCTTTCAAGAGCTACATGAACAAGGGCCAGCAAGGAGCCACCATGCCGTATGGTCAAGATCCCATGCAGCATTACTTCCCACCGACCCATGGTCACAATCAGACTCAACCGAGACAAGAGGCATCTGTGATCTCCGTCTACGACCTGCAGAGACTGTTAGACGCCGAGGAAACGAGGAATAAGAACGCACTTCATCCGGTCGCCACTATACCCGCGGCTCTCGGTTGCAGCTTCATGTCGTTCGCCCCCAGCGGTCTTATGCTCATGACTGTGAGCAAGAAGGGCGACTATCAAGATGTTTGGGACCTGAAGCGCATGAACTTCCGAAGAGCACGTAAGACGTTACGGGAACAGCCAACAGGACCTTACGTACGACAAGTCGCTCGCTTCACCAGAATGACTGTTGCGAACGTCATCGATGTTGTTTGGTCTGCCCCTCGAGTCGACAAACTGGCTGTCATCACGGACAAGGGAACAGTGCACATGTTCCCGATGCCTGCGTCGGCCTTCCAATGGCCACCAGCTCGGCGCATTCGTCCAGCTGCACCAGCCACACCAAAGGATGTCGCGTCCCCCACAGGTCCCGCTGGTGTGATGAACTCAGCAATGCAAGCTGTCAATAGCGCTAGGCCTTGGTTTGATGCTGTTCGCGCTAAGAACAGCGTCGGCGGAACTCGATTCAGTCTCAGTGGCTTGGGTGTAACCCCTGCCGCTGGCGCAAAATCTGGCAAAGCCGTCGCTGCCAATGTAGGCAAGTCAATCAACAACATCCGGCATGCCGGCGACAACAAAATGACACTTCCGTCATCGCCTAGCGGTATCAAGCCTTACAGCGTACGCTGGCTTTCTGGTAGAGGTCGTGGTTCGATCGCACTAGCGTCCGGTGGTGTACTTCAGATCTGGAGGGTGCAGATGAGAGCTGCGACAGGCAAGGGGAAATCATCGCATACTGCATCCATAACCAAGAAGAAGACAGTGGAGTTCGGACTTGCTCCCATCTCGGATACCGCACTACCACCCTCCGTCACGGAGCAACTGTTCCCGCAACCTGGTGATCCTGAGCCAACACTTGACTGCTACGGTGACTGGTTTCCTCGCGCTTTGCCTTCTCGCAAGCCTACCGTGTCATCTCTCGCACCACTCAGCTTCTCCGAGATTGAGACGAACCCTCCTTACCAGCCCTTCTACACCGACAAACGTGTCACGCGTTTTGTCTACTCCAGACAAGCACCCGAGGTTCAAGAGAGTAGCAGCGAATACCAGCCCTCGTTACCGGCACATATCTCCGATCTCCATCACGAAGATAGCTCGCCATGGCTCTTTGGTGAGACCGTAGAGGGTACACGTATCTCCACGCCAATCACTCAGGCGTATGACTCTGGAGAGGATGACATCACGGGCGTTGCCGCCAGGATCGAGAACAAGCTTATTCTTCGAGACGGCGAAGAGGAGGTAGAGCAGGTTGTCGTCACCACACGACGTCGGCGCGTGAAGAAGGAGGGTATCGACGGCGACGAGGAGGGTTTCTTCGAGGACGATTGCGAGGTGTTGGATTTCGCAGAGGATAGGGTGTGAGCGTGTACATTCGCTCTACCTCTCTTCCATTCAACATGTCCTTCCACACACCACCCCTACATTCGCTACCACATTTGCATCAGATCGGGCGTTGTCATCTTGGGTAAGGCGCAGCAATAGGCGCCGGCGTTTCTTCTTTTTGGGTCAGGAGGAATTCGCATCATTAGGATACCACGCAGCCGACAGCGGCCCTCGGCTTGCAACATCAATACACAACTTAGATAGCCAATAGATGGATCAGGATTAGCAACTACGCTCTATTTTACGCAACGGATGAGGCAAAGTGATGTGCTTACAGTCTAACCTTGCTTCGTATATGGCCGTCTTTACTCCATGATCGTGTCTTTAACTCCGTTTATCCCCGTCCGCCGACTATCTCCACCGTGCTGGATGGTCGGCAGCGGATGGTCGGGGGAAATACTAGGTTTTCACCAGAGTATCGAAAGTGCTCATTGGATGCATGCGCGTTTGATTTGCGTGGCTTTTGCACTACGTAGATGTGTTGTTACTGTCCGGTCAAGGGGAATGCATGCTCACGGTACCTCAACCGTGTACTGCAACAGGATGTGCAAATCATTTATTGCACTATCAGGTCCATGGCTTCGTGTAGTGAGTGGCGATCGTGCTAGACCGTGAGCCAAAGCAGGCTGCTACCCGTGGTGGTGGAGTTGAAGATTCGGCGCGAAGACGGAAGGTAGGAATTAGAGGCCTAGGACAGAAAATATAAAGAGAAGACTACAGCCGCCAACAAGAAAACATTCAGCTCACATCAGCACGAAGAAAATCATTAGCTCTACACCAAACAGTCCATAACTGAACGAAGAAATAAGATCATGTCTTCCACCGACCAAACCATCATTCTCATCACCGGCGGTACGCAGCATCTCCCTACTCTCTGTTTCTTTCCCTCCTCTTCATTCCCCAGCCCATCCTAAACATTCTAACTAACACACCATCCCAGCAAATGGTGGCATCGGTTTCTCCCTGGCCACCCAACTCCTCGAAAACGCCAAATACCTGATCCTCCTCGGCAGTCGCTCCGCCGAAAAGGGTGAAGCCGCTGTGAAACAGCTCCAGGGAAAAGGATTGCCTGGGAAAGTGGAGTTGCTGCAGATTGATGTCAGCGACGAGACGAGTATTCTGAAAGCGAAGGACGTGGTGGAGGGGAAGTATGGTCGGTAAGTATATCCCCTTTCCTTATCCATCCCTAACTCCAACTCCAGTGCTTCAAGTCATACTCACAAGCTCCCCACCAGCATCGACGCCCTCGTAAACAACGCCGCGATAACCGGCGAAGCACCCGCCTCCTCCTCTCTCGCCACCCGCATGACATCCGCCTTCCTAACCAACGCCACGGGCCCAGCCGTCATCGTGGAAACGTTTGCTCCTTTCCTCGCGAAGAGCGCGGAGATGGGGAAGACGCCGCGGATTCTCAATGTGTCGAGTGGAGCCGGGAGTATTGGACTCAGGAGTGATAGGACGAATCCGCATCAGGCTATGAAGAATGTATGTCCTCCACTCTCTTTATCGGCTGTTTTGACGAGATTGGTGTTGGTGGGGTTGGTTTGGTATTTGGTGAGATGTTTGCTGATCAGAAACCAGTTGCCATACCGCAGTTCCAAAGCGGCGCTGAACATGCTTACTGCGTGTCAGGACTACGAGTATGGACCTAAGGGGTGGAAGGTGTTTTGCTTCTGCCCGGGGTTTACGGAGAGTAACTTGGGGCCTAGGGTACGTTTTCTTACTCCCACTTTCACTTGTTGTTGCGCGTGGGGTTGATGGTTGTTTGCTGACATGTGAGATAGAACAAACCGGAGCATGGGGCCAAGCCTACTAGTGAGGGCGCGAAACCCATGGTTGCTATCTTGGAAGGGGAGAGGGATGAGGAATCTGGGGGGTTCTTGAAGGCTGAGGGGGGTTGGCCTTGGTAGATGGGTGACCGTGGTCTCGGCATGGGCAATCTGCACGTAGATTGAAAGATAGTGAGTAGTGTGAGAAAGTGAAAGGGGTATCTGCATTTGTTCCTTCATATCTTCGTTCCATCACTTGTCCTTACACACGTCGCCTTTTGCCTACATCAATCCTGCCCATCTCATTGCCTCAAGAACATCTTGTAGCTTGAGCTATCTGTGACCTCCTTGTACGGGTATCCAATATCCTTCAAAAAACTGGCCAACTTGCTGCTGTCCTCCTCTTTGCACTGTATGCCAGCCAGGATCTTCGCAACGTCGCCGCCATAGTTTCTGTAGTGAAAGAGACTGATGTTCATTCCCGGTTGTAGTGTGTTCAGGAACTTGTACAACGCGCCTCCTCGCTCAGGGAATTCGAACATGTACATATGCTCATCGGCGGCGTTGCTGCGCCCTCCGACCAAGTAGCGGATATGTGACTTTACGAGCTCGTCTTGAGAGAGGTCCTCGGCAGTCATGCCTTCAGCGGCGAGACGTTCGATGAGATCGGGTAGATCGCGGGCCCTTGTCGCCGCCTTGAGTTCGACACCAACGAGGATCTGAGCCGACTCAGGGCCACAGTAGCGGTAGCTGAACTCTGTGACTGCCATGGGGTGGATGACGGAAACGAGCTTGGCAAATGAACCAGGTTGTTCGGGGATAGTGACGGAGAGGATGGCTTCTTTGTTTTCACCGATGGCGGCGCGCTCGGCGACGAAGCGGAGACGATCAAAGTTCATGTTTGCGCCGCTGGCAATGGCAACCAGACCACGGTTTCGATCTGGTGACGGGTTGCGACTCACCCACTTCTTCAGGCCTGCAAGGGCGAGCGCGCCTGCAGGTTCAACAATGGAGCGTGTGTCTTCGAACATGTCCTTGATGGCTGCACATGTCTCGTCCGTTGTAACTTGGACCACCTCATCGACGACCTCTTGACATATCCTGAATGTCTCCTCTCCCACTGTCTTGACCGCAGCTCCGTCAGCGAAGAGTCCGACGTCCTTCAGGAAGACGCGCTTTCCGGCTTTGAGCGACTCGACCATGGCGTTTGCGTCGTACTGCTCCACTCCTATGATCTTGACGTGTGGCGCTATCCGCTTGATGTATACGCCTGTGCCCGCGATGAGACCACCACCACCCACGCAGCAGAAGACGGCCTTGAGGTCCTGCAGGTTTGTCTGTCGCAGCAATTCCATGCCAACCGTACCCTGACCCGCAATGACATACGGGTCGTCGAATGGCGGGATAGACACAAGCCCATGCAGCTTCTCCAATCGCGCAGCCTCTGCCTTTGCAGCGTCAAAGTCAGCTCCATGCAAGATGACTGAGCCGCCTAGCCGTGAGACGTTCTTGTGCTTGATGTCGGGCGTTCCCGAGGGCATGACAATAGTTGCGGGAATCTTGAGCTTGCGCGCAGAGTAGGCCACACCCTGCGCGTGGTTTCCGGCGCTACACGCGACAACACCCCGCCACCTGTCCTTGGGGTCCAAATGTGCCATCTTGTTGTATGCGCCGCGCAGCTTGAAGCTGAAAACGGGCTGCAGATCCTCGCGCTTGAGCAGAACATTGCATTCTAGCCTGTTGCTGAGATTGGTTGCGTGGGTGAGAGGCGTTTCCTGCACTACTTCGTAGACGCGCGAGGTGAGGATGAGGCGGAGGTAGTCGGGGTAGCCGTTGGGCAGGAGGAAGGCGTCGGGTATGACATCGTTGGTTCGCGAAGACGTCGATTCCGAGGGCGGACTCGGGTTCGCGCTGTACTCGGTCAGGGCGAGGCCGTTCTTGGGCGTGCGGGGCGAGACAAGGCCATTGGGACCATTGTCGGGCGTCGTCGGCCGTGAGTAGTCGGGGACCGTCGTCATTGTGGTGTTGTGCCAGAAGTGCAGCTTGTTGAGCTTGTCTTTGTATTTTTTGGGCGAGTCATCGGAGGCTCGGTCGGCCTGCATCGGAGGCAGGGGTGCGTCTAGCGTCATGGGGAGCTATGGTGGGGTAGATGGCGTCCAACCTCCCAACTTCATCTCATCTCGCGTCGGATGGCGAACCCTCCGACATGTCGCGCCCAACATCTCCTTTTGAACTTCTTCCTGTGCTTCCTACGCGTTTTCTCGTGTCGTATACTTCCGCCGTCGTCTGCATCTACTAGTTTCGTTTGTTGCCATGTTTGCTCTCGATACCTCCTGACGGCCTCCGCGTCATCCTCTTCTGGTATCTGGCGTCGACAAGACACGCCACGGACTCCAGGCTCCACTGGCGCACGCGATGGCTAGCATCTATATGGACCCCGTATGCTTCACGGCCTCGCGCTGATGCTCGGACGCGCGCGCGGGATGGCGACGTAGGCTCCGAGGGAGGCTGCAGTAGTCGGCTTGTTGGTATGGTTCTGAACGACTGGGCTGCCCTCTTCCAGCTCCGTTCTGCATATACGGGTGCGTTGGCAACCTGTACGATGACTTGCAGTAGAAGAAACGGAGAACGTTGCGGACGAGCCTACGCGAGCGGCTGGAAATTCCCTCATTTCCGCCGTTTGAGCTTGCTGTCGATGCCATTGGAATGTAGGGCGAAGTGGTTTGCATGTGGTGGTTGAATTGTAATCGGTGGTCACGGTGGCGGTCGATCGTTAGTGCGGAAAGGGCTGAAGCTTTGCCCGTCGCTCGATCTGAAGTTCACAGTGTCACGACCCACAGCAACTCGTTCTTGTTCAACTCAACTCAACCTTTCGGATTCTTCTCTACTGACAGAGCAGACTTAGCCAGGCTATCTAGAGCTGGAGGACCGCATCTATGTCCGCTCTGTCTGCATACCTCGAGTGGCAGGATAGGCTGGCCGCCTTCTGTACGCGCGAGCGGAGAAGGCTTCGCCAGCTACTAACGAGAACGGGATCTCGAGTACTCTTGTAGTGAGCTTGCTGTCGCGCCTCTTAATGCTCTCCAGGTACTCGAATCGTTAACGCGTTGTTCGCGGGCTTGACTTCGAAAATAAGGCGGACTTGACCTCATTGCCGACTAGCCTCCGCTCGACCTCCCCCGCAATCTCAACACACTACTGGGCCGCAGGTTCGAGATAGCTCTTCTTGGACTGCTTCAGCGTTCATGCAGTACGCGCTGCACTTCAATGGGAGCCTGGGCGTTGCCGTGATGTCCCAGCGGAGCGATCCAATTCCCCGATGCTCGGACCAAACACCCTGCTCTTGCGAATCGCCTCTCCATCTGCCTCTTCAACCACGCTCGAGGGTGATCTCTTCGATCGATTCAGTGGAATAAGGCTGACCATCAAGCGGACGACTCTTTAGGTATGCGCTCCCACACCCCCTGAAGGGGCGACATTGCTGACCGAACACAATCCTCAGGCCGCATCGAGGGATTCTTGTACGAAACCACTTGCCTCTTCTTTCCTGCCCATCGACATTCGAATCTCGTCCCTACCACCATTGTGATCGACGTTGCCACCTCTACCCCGACCACGATTGCCACACACACTAGACACAGCATCACCCACCTCTTACTTCCGCGGAGGAGGAGGGCAAAGAACTTATAGCCAGGTTCCAAGTCCGGCGGCTTCAGCGGTCATACTCATCGCCATGGGAGAACTCGGGCACCTGCGCCGCAACTCCAGAATGAACGACTTGTAATTTGGTCACGCGGACGGACTGTTCACAGGGCTCGAGCATCCCAGTCGAGCAACAGGGTTTTGCTGTCGATCTTTCTGCTTACGCCCCTCTTGTGCAAGTGTTGGAAGATATCCGAGAGCCATTGCCTGGAAAGCTCTCTTCCATGGGTGCCAGGATCGAATTTCAGACGAAAGGCTCGCACAGCCAAGTGGCCCCCGTCATCCAAGAACAGCTGGTTGTTGATCCATTTCTTAACGAAAGTCCGGTGGCAAGGAGCATCGGTACCGAAGATCATCCTGCCTGTATTGCGGCTGGCTCCGAGGTGAACTACTTCTTCTTCGTAGTCGAAGCCAATCTCGAACCGTTGTGCTAATCTGTTCTTTGAGTTGGGTTCGCAGTGGACCTTGAAGTCTACCAGGTTGTATCGGTCCTCTCTTACAGACGTGGATATGGCCCACACGTTTTGAGACATTGAATCTTTCGGCATATGGTTGTCGTACCGAAACACAAAGGTGTTCTGGAAGAAGACGTCCTGGACCATCTCGCCCCATACGCGGCAGACCTTACGAAGACCGAGAATCTCAGGAATACTCGTGTGGGGCCTAGCATCCTTGTCCCAGTCCCTGCCGACACCCCTAATGTGGGTACGATTGATTGGAAGTACGAACCTGCAGCGGAAGGCCTTAGGAAGGTCGTCTAAACGCGTATCATCCAGCGCCATGAGGACAGGACCCTCGAACAAGCCAAGATGCTTGAAAATCTTGTTCAGCAATTCCTGTGGCAGATCGAATATACCCTTCGCAACCATTCCTCCATACACGCGGCTTTCCGAGATATATGGCGGTGCATCGCAGTACAATGGCAATGGCTCATTGCCATAGCGGTCGGTCGTGAGCAAGTTTTCTTCACCAGGCGGAAGAGTGTAGAAGCTGTCAATGCCGCTTGCGGCACACTCCGAACGCGAAGGCCAGCCGGGGATCTTGCCTTCGAGATAACCCCAGTGGGGGAAAAGGCAGTCGTAGTCGCCTGTTAGTCCAGGACCGCCGACAGCGAAGGGTCCATATAGCTTGCCCCACCATGGTGCTTCTCGGTAGAAAGGAAAGAGCTCTTCGGATTTCTGGTACATTGCGTCAATCTCAAGCGATCGTTGAGGAGACGTCAAGAGCATCAAGAGCATGAGCTGCGCGAGTGTAAACCCGGGCTTGGTGTTTTCATCGCTAGAGGCAGCATCCCACGTCTTACGCAAGTACGTGTCTGGTGTGGACATCTCCCTAACGAACCAGGAGACATCCTCGGCGCCCATGGACGTAAGCCGCAAACCTGGGAAGCGGTTGTACACTTCTGCGACCTCGCGTCTACCATCGTCTGTATCTCGCCAGATGCGGAAGGCGTCGTCCAACTCTTTCTCGTTCGCTAGCCACGCGTTGTAGGTCATCGCATGCTGCCCATCTCTCCAGACGCGTTCGTCTGGTATTGTAGTAGGGCGGGGAGGCTTGCGCGGGGTCGCGGTGTCCGGCTCGTTCGGGTCGACATGAGACGCTGGATCTGTTAGCGACATATCGGTCTTGACCGGAGACAACTTACGGGGCAGCATGGATCGGGAACCACGCTCGCGAGCCGCGAGCCTAACATACTCCAGAAGGCTGCTCATCGTTGCGTTTGGCTTGAGTCCGGGGAAGCTGTTGAACTGTCTCGTTCGCGAAGGACGGGCAGCAACCAGGCTCAGGGAGATGGGTGCTTGATGATCGGACGTCTGTGGCGTGGGAGTTGCAAGCAGTCAATCCCTTCGGCGATCCGGAGAGTAGCAGAGTTGCGGCCGTAAAGCGATCGTATGCTGTACGAGTTGCCTGGTGGCTGTCCGTGCGATGGAGATAGCCGGCTGTCACGACGACCTGGGCTTTGAAACCCGGCGGCGGGACACGAGGAGGTTTGCTGTGGTCTTCCCGGCGTCAGATGCTCTCCTGGGTGGCCTTCTCGGTGTCCGAGGTGTTCCTGAGTGTGCTCTGAGAGCCGTCAGGAGTGCTTCCCGAAGAGGGTGTGCCTGGTGTCGCAGTCGTCCTAGATCTGGGTCGGCGAGGAGGAGTAACCGCAGAAGTTACAGGCGGCGCCGTTATCGTTGCCAGTGTCTTCGCAAGCCCGGCGCAGGTGTGCGAGCCGATGAAGAGAATTGTTGTCGTGGCTGTCGCCGTCTTTAGTTGTGGCTAAGATCGCGTTGGTCGAACAAGGCTGCGGAGGTGGCCGATGGCGCGGAGGTGCTTATGGACGTCTCGAATTTGTCGCACTTGTGCTGGTCACAATCTACGTGCAGAGAGCTGTCGGCGCAGTGTCTGAAAAGGAGGGCGTGGTTGTGGGTGGCTGTCGTGTGGTGAAGCTATCAAGAGTTCGGAGGCGGAAGTCGTTGTGAGAGACGGACGCAGACAAACATCGAACTTAGAAGCGCCACGCTAGAACGTCATTGCAAAGTTCAGATGAGGACGACGGGTTTTCAGAATCATCGAGGCAACGCAGCCTGTGTACAGCGACTACGCCAGCGACACAGATTATCAGTCGAATATTAGGCGCGAGGCTTGCAACCCGGCCCCTGGTTTCTTCTACATCACGCACGCACGATCGATCTGGAAATAAGACTGGCGGAAGAGTGCTTCTTCTGACTAAATGCAGCATATTATGATACACGCCTATGCGCCGTCCAGCATCCGACGTGTCTTCCAAGCTGTTGCATTGCCGTCAGGTTTGGCAAATACCAAGTCTATATACCCTGAAGACCATCGCGTCACATGTACCCTATATCTTCTCCTCCGACATGGTCTCTCCCTATTTTAGGGACAGGATGAAGGGGTCTCCGGGAGGAGTCTTGCTTGAGAGCCACTCTGGGTGCTCGAGTAGGATGAAGAATGTTTGGATCATTACCTCGCTCCATCCTTTGGGGAGAATCCACCATGACTCTTCATGACCACCAGTAAACTGTATACCCCGAATGGCAAGACGATTGGGTGTTTGGACGAAGGTGATGTCAGGGTCCCTGGCCAAGAGCCCTGCATCTTCATCGTTTATGGTCGGCATTTGCTTCTTCTTGCTGAGAGCCAAGTCTATACCTGTTGTCGCACACTCGATGCCAGCCTCATGGTCCGTTACTACGCCTCCCATGTGCCAATTGTTGCGATATTGAACCTTGATTGATGCGCCGCGCTTGACGAGTTTGGGTTCGATCTGGCAGGGGAGAAACCACATAGGCTTTATGCCAAGGTTAACTGGCTGGCCGTGCTGAAACACCATGGGGCTCTTATAGAAGGCTTCGAGCATGCAACGCGCAAAGAGCCTGTCGACATTGCGAATCTCCAAGACCTTGCGCACCACCTCCAAGCCAAGGGGTCGGACCACCGGTGGGGTGTAGCTCTGGCTTCCTTTGTCTTCAGTCCAGTGTACCTCGCAAGCTGTCAAGCCAAGGAATGCGGGATCGTCGAAAGGGGAAAATCCGCGGTATTTCAGAACAAGCACACCATGGATGTAGTTGGCACGATGGTACTTGAGGATCTGAATCAATGTCTCCTCTGGCAGTCTCGAGGAGAAGAACTGGAACGCGGAAGCGACCTCTCCGTCGGTATCTGGCGTCATCGCGTTCGATCTGGGAGCCCCGAGGTGCTGGGCGCGTTCAGGGTGTTGCCGGCGGCTCTGGTGCGGTCGTCGTGGACTGGGCGGAGGCTCGTGGGTTATCGGCGGGCTCGACGTGGAGATGGCGATGGATCTGCAGGAGGGGGACTGTGTCGCAGATGTCTACTGGCCGTTGAAAAGGTGGTGGTGCGGTTGTCGTGTACAGGAGTCGAGTGCGGGGTGTGCTGATCTGCCTGAGCGCCGACGGGTGCGGTACACAGCGCCGATGACGCCTTGCTTGCGAAGAGCTCAACGGCTGCGCTTATGATCTGAGAAGAAGAGCGGGGGACACCGAGGATCGTTTCGTGTGTTGTGGGTGGCGCGCAGATCGTGGTGCGGTTGTCGAGAAAAGTGAGACGCAGACGCACTGGACGAACAACACTGCTACGCCCGAATTTAAGGCCCGAGCGCTATCTCCTGACGATGCCGTCGGTACAGACGACTTCAGTGTTCTCAGGGATTCGTATGAGATATGATGCGGGCATTTAGACGCACGTCGGGCAGGTGTCATGATACATCAACGTCGATACCTGGAGGGTCGAGAAAGACATCTACAGCAGAAGTGGCTTGTATCACAAAAGGTTCATGGCAATGTTTTTAAAGAAGGATAATGGGAGGACATGTCTTCATATTGCTTGGTTTATCTGATACCAAGCGGCCAGCTCCTCTATCGACAAGATGTCTTCTGTCGAGGGCCAGCAACCACAAACGCCGACGCTAAATGCTCATCAACCCGGAGACCATACAAAGCTCCTTCATTTACCCGGGTACTGCTCCATCGCACCCTGGGTCGTCGCCGCCATGGTCAGCGTGCCGTTGCCCAACTGTCCAACACCCCAGAACTTCTGGGACGCTGGCTGGCCCAAGTGGACCGGGAAAGTACCCGAGAAGATCTCGCCCTCGTCCTCCTCCTGGACGACACTGAGAGGTGCCTCCCGAGCGATGACGTACTCGGCCATCTCAATCCTGGAACCGAAGTTCGCAGGGTTGCCGCCGACGGCTCGCACCATCTGATATAGTCCTTTGAAGCCCGCAACTGTGCTCGGGCTGCACTGCTGGAAAGCCGCCCAGCGGAACTGACCGTCCGGCTGCTTCGTGTAGACGCGCTTGCCGTCTTCCTTGGCATCCTTGAGGGCGTCGCTGTTCTTGACGCACTGTAACATGTTAGTCAGTCACTAAGTGATATGGAGAGGGGTGATTACTTACACCAGTCCTGGCACCGTACGACCAGTACGTATTGGTCGCGTTGACCACGCAAGCCTGATAGTAATCCCACACACCCGACGTAGGCGCCGGGGGAGCAGGCTGTTGACCAGTGGGCGGCGGCACGCGAGGACGCAGAGATCCGGTGGTCTCGAAGAAGGAGGAAGGGGGGAACGCGGCAGGACCGAATTCGGCCAGCTCTCGATCCACCATCTCTTTACGTGCGGCGAGACCAAGCGCGTTGATACGGGGGGCGGTTCTCGCTTTCTCACGGGCGTCGGCGAGGAAGCGCTCTTCGTCCTCGGCGAGGCGCTCGAGCATGGAGCGGTCGAGATCGTGGCGGGCAAGGAACTCGTCTGACTGGGAGAGAGCAAAACGCATTGTGATGATGATGTGAGAGTGTCGTTGCTAAGGAAGGGAAGAGGGACAGAGTTGTTGTGCCTTTTGAGCTTGCGCCAAGACTTTGAGCGTGCTAGCGTAGTCAGCCAACGGTCACCCAGGCAATGCTCGATGAGGAATGAGGAAGTGACGGTGAGAGCGGCGGCTTCCGAGCCTCTACCGTTCGGCAGAAGCTTCCAGACACGAGCAGGGTCGTTCTCAGACTTTTCCGAGTAACAATTCGGGGAAAGGAGATCACTTGCGGAATCTTGGATCACGGCGCAATACGATGAACGGCTCTGGTTATCCAGAGGCGTCATTTTGCAGCCGTACGGATATCATGAAGGAAGAGGACATACTGCCTGACTGCAGCTCATGCATTGTTCTAATCTACACCGGCGTCTTCACACCCCTAATCCTGCTCCATGGTGTTCTTGAGCCAGGTTGCCTGCGCCAACAACCAACCTGGAGCTGGCGCAATGAACAGCAACCTAGAAGGATATTTGAAGTCGACCGTGACTTCCCCAACGTCACGCAATCCGCTGAGAGCACGAACTTCAGGGGCAGTGCGAAAAACATGGTCCCAAGATGTCTGTCCTCCTTGTTGTCTAGGGTGGTAGACGTGCCACTCGAACGCGCGGGCAGAGATTAGCACGCGTAGTCTCCTAATCTTCAAGTGATGTTGGGAGAAGTCAACGCTTGACCGCGGGAGATGGTTCATGCCGAAGCTCGAGACGCATATCTCAACGTCGTGGATGAGGGTCTGGAGATCTGGATGGACGCCGCTTAGCCACTTCTGGCCGAAGGACAAGTCGAAGCGGTTCTTTCCAAAGAAGGCCTCTCGCACGATTGGAAGCAGCCGCTTCACTACCAAGCCTATACTCAAGATCTCGAGCATTGGCATGAGAACTCTTGCCTTGGGAGGCGCAGTCTGTGTTGAGAGGATGCGGGGGTGTGCCCGCAATACAGGCTCCTCCCTCCGAGACCTTGTCAAGCTTGGCGATAGCCTGTCCTCCTCCACCAGGACGTATCCGAATATTGTGAGGAGAATCTCGGTGGGCAAAGCCAGAAGCCCGCGAGGAGGTTGGTTTGGGCCTGCGGCCGTCCGCGGGGAGGTACTCGCGGCGACGACGTCGGCACTGCTGAGCTGCTTCGCAGCGGCAGGAGGGATCGAGGAGGAGGACGGCATCTTCTGTGATGCAGACAAGGGCGGGGAAGTCGAGGTGCGCCAAAGACGTACTGCGATCGGGAGAGGAAGTGTGGAGAGATAGCTTTCCGCCAAGATACTCGATCAGGCGCCGCAGCCGGACTCGAGGATGGTGTCGAATGTGTGGTAGGAGAGCAGAAGCTAGAGGAAGAGAGATTGTGGGTGATGTTGAAAGGATTGGAGAAGTTGGCGAAGAAGCTGCGACTGAAGTTTTCGCGGGCAGCTTTCACAACAACGAACGGCCGCACCAATTTAAGGGTCACTCTTAGCGCCCGGATAGAGCCCGGCCTCAGACGCTTGCAAAGCTACGCAATCACTTGAAGACGTGAGAGAAGAATCTCGGGCTCAAGGTAAATTGAAGTACCCGGCATATCACTTCATTCTCCAAGAAGCTCATCCCATTCGATGTGGGAGGATGCACATTCCACAACAAGACAGCATCTGTCTCCGTAGATCCGGCACTCCTGCTGGTCATCATTTAGCAACAGTCACTCTCATATCACGATTGGATTGCATAGAAGTCTCCATCTACGCTTAGTCAAAGACAAAGCGTTGAGGCAGATCACAAAGCCAAGAGGTCATACATATGGTTCTATTACAAGATACGGTCTATCTGCATCAGAACGTCGAGAGAGCGCGACACGGTCAGTTGCTCCCGATACCAAGCGGGTGCTCAAGGCTCGTCCGGTTCATCTGGGTTCTTCCAGTCGAGCCGCCTCAAACGTTCCAGTTTCTTTGCCTTGGAGATCTTGGTTGAGGAATCTGCAGGATCCATACCGTAGGACTCGAGTTCGGAGTCTAGTTCTGACCAAGGCCTCCTCACCAGGGTGTCGCTGCTCAATGGGTGTAGAGCTAGAGCTGGGTAGGCATGCGGCTGATCGTGCCTGCCGCGCCTACCTTTGGGCTTTGCCAGGCACTGCTGCAGCCGTGCAGTCTCGGGCGCTCCAAGTGCGAAAGGGGCCTGTACTACCAAGTGGTCTACTCCGCGAAGACGACTGAGAAGGTCGAGTTCAGGCATTTGGAGAAACCTCTGTCGCCCTTCGGCAGGCGTAAGAGATTGTATGCCATAAGGGACTCGCACTTTGATTGTTACTGACCGCAGTGTGTGGCTCTTTCCAATTTCCCTAATCATGTTCTCGGTATTTATCCTCCTCTTCTCCCGGTAGGTTACCATGCCCAAGCCCAAGTAGAGGGATATTTCGACATGCGTTAGCGACTCTTGGTATAGTATAGGTACACTCCTGATCCATCGAATAGGATTCCGTTGAAGAGCATTTCGGTAAAGGATGTTGCCGCAGGTCAGGTCAAAGGTGTTATGTCCAAAGAACACGTCGAAAGCGAAGCGGCGGAGTCGTAGATTCGTCGCAGCTACGGCCAAAATGTCTCGTAGGGGTGGCAGGCGGAGGTCATTGTGCATGGGTTGTCCTGAAGTCGCGACTTGAAGTACGGGTTCTCCAGTCGGGTGGTACGACTCGCTGATGCGGATCGCTTGGCCTGGGAACACCAAAAGATCCCTCAAGATCTCTAGCATTATCTCATTGGGTATCCTATCGATGTTGGAGCCAGGCCCGGCATGTGCGTTGTTTGGGGTCGAGATCGCGTTGCTGGTCGTCGACAAAATTTGGGAAGAGGTAGTGTGAGAAGTAGTAAGAGGTCGAGGTGCGGGGCATACGTCCAACAGAAAGTGCATGTCCGCCGCTGGCACAGACATGCCGACCCGTGGATCGATCACCGTTGGATTGATGGTGAACCTTGGCTGCTCGTGCTAGTTGCTGTCAGTAAGACGTAGGAGGCCGACCATGCTGTTGACTTACAATCTGAGTATCTTCAAGGAGATCTGAGGCAGACGCATCCGAGAACTGGACCCAAGGCATACCTTCTGTATAACCTTGCTGCTGAGGCTCATCCAAGTCGCAAACGTCATCATCCTCTGGATCCGACAGGTCGTCGCCTCGGTAGCCCGCGAGTAGCCCTCCGTATCGTTCCTGGAACTCTTCGGGAAAGGAGTACGGCGTGAGCGGTGATAGCCAGGTAAACTCGGGGTCGTCCGTCGTCAAGCCCACCTCAGGGAAGGGGAAGGCGGGGAGATCTGGCGGCGCGTCGGGAAGATCTTCGACAGTAGGCGTTGAGACCGGGGTTGCAGCAGTTGATGTCCAGCTAGGCAACATGGTCGTCGGACTGCCATCGCGTGGAGTCAGGAGGTCGCCGACCGCCTCATGCTCACACGAGGGGTTGACTGTTGTCAGGATCTGCGCTTTTTGTAAGCTGGTGGACTTCTGATTTTACAAGGCTTGACCGACCTGGACCGACTCAGTGAGAGACGTGGAAGCTGTGGGAGCGATCACAGTAGTACCTACTGGACGGGATCCTAAAGGCACTGGCGCCATCGCGGTAATCTACGACTTGTTAGTTGCGACGTTCACGTCCGTCGCGGAGGATTGCATACCGTGGCTGTAGAGTTGAAGATCGCGGCTTCGTCCGTAAACGACACCGGGCCTCGCTGCGAAACCGGGTAGAGATGGTGGCCAGTAGGGAGAAGACAGGCTGCAGCGAAGAGCAGCAGCAGTAGCGGCAAGTACCTGCCGACCGCCGCCTTGCCCAGGGCCAGGCGTCCTGGGCCGTACATGGTTGACTGAAAAAAATGTTGGTAAGTCAAACGTCGCATGAGAAGCGCTGGCTGATGTCGACCTACCTGAGTCTGAGTCTGTTCGATGGAAATATCTTCAGATATGGGTGTCGCGAAGGGGGGATGGTAGAGGAGTGGGGTTGCAAAGGCGAAAACACCTTCAGTGCGTGAGCGCATCAGACACGTGCATTTTCACTTTTCGGTGACGCGATGCATGAACGCCAAAAGGTCGCCTCCCTGAAGAAGACCCTGGGATGCGAGTAGTGAGTCACGGCGCACCGAGATTAGGTCCAGCGATTTCGGAACGATGGAATATTTGTCTATGTGTAGATGATCTTCCATCTGCGTCCCAGAACCGGCATCACAGAGGATTAACGTCCGGGCCAACCTTCGACAGACCCATTTCAAAGTACAGATGTACCGTGACCTGCTTTACTCCTCGTTCTATGTGAACAGGTATTCTGATCTAGGAACTGTCGCACGTCAAAGTGCGCATCTCACGTCGTCCTTTACATGTCACAGACACCGCATCCGGGTAAATCTAATGAAAAAGGTTGGCACACGAAAGAAAGAAGTGTTGTCATTATCCATGGTTGCTACAGAGTCTAGAAGGGGAGTTGCTATTACCGAAAGAGTAAAATCAAAGCCCACTGCGAGATAGGGATGCAGTTTGCAAAGCTGCCTCAAGAGTGGTCCGACATCTTCGATCGATATCGGGCAGCTCATTAAGATGCCTAACCGCGTTGCGTTCGTACAAGTGCTTGCGATCATCCCGTAACAGCACTAGGAAGTTGCTAAGGCCACCAGGACCTTAAACGCCTCTGTACTCCCAAACAGGAAATTATATGCCCAGTAGACGTCGTTCTTCACTGCCATTGCAGGGAGAAGCAAGCCGATCTTCGGAACAGGGGTACGCCGCGTGCCTCGACGAGTGAGGGCTTACTTTAGTGGCTAGGTAGAGGACGTGCGTAGACTTTGCCTGGCCACGCGACATCGACTTTCCAGACTCATATTTTGGGCAGGTCACCGCAAGATTGGACTCGCTTCTCAAACAGACGACGGCGATTACCTTCACGCCTTTGAACGTACGCAGGATAGCCCATTTGGTAACCACGCCTGTCTGCGAGCACTTCGTGCATTTACCGCGTAACTCTGCGATTAGCGGGGTATACGACCAGCATCGCACGAACAGCTGCGTCGGAGATACTCTGATATCTAGCGACCAGCCCTGAGATAAACAAGAAGATACGGTACGGCAAATACTCGCTCATTTGAGATGCGACACTAATGCCCAGCCAGTTGCAACACGTACGCCCGCAGCAGCCACCATCACACACCTCCTCCGCAACACCATGGCCGAGGAACCCTCCAGATTGGCGTCACGTCAAGACCTGTTGGTCCAAGAGCACTTTACCGCCGAAAAGTTCGACCATTTCCTCCCGGGTGCGCCACACGAGGGTGACTTCCGTGCAGAAGCGCTGAAGCCGGAGTCACGACTAGGTGCCTTTCTCCACGACATGCATTCTCACAGGGGCAAGGGAATGAAAATCACGGCCACTGAAATGATCACTCTTACACTCCTGCTGTCTAAGTCTCGGAAGGCGACCAAAGCGGAGATATTCCAACGTGCTACCGAACTGCTCAACTTTCAACGAGGTTATTTCCGAACCCAAATAGCAATGGAGGCTTACTCCAATGATATCATCACGGAGATGGATGCGTACTTGCTTGAAGAGCGTTCCCGATACGAAGTCAAGTTCCCGTCCGAGAGCCATGATCAGCTGCGACCTGAGCCAAGCATCCACGGCAAGAAAAACAACGAAACCCTCTGGCCAGTCTGGGCACGCGGAGTTGGCGCTGAGATGACAGAAGAGGAGAAGGATCCAAAGGACGAGACGCGCTACAACTACGATTATGGCTCATTCGATGTTGATTGGGCTGATCAATTCGATATTGAGATGAATAGTCGCATGGAGGCAGGAACAGGACCGGCTCACTGCGTCTATATACTACCCCCGGGTATGGAGAACGAAGTCTTTGCGTCCTTCCAAAATACACAGCTTAAGCAACCCAACTCGAACCTCGACACAGGATCTTCAGACACTGCACGCGATTACTTCAGCTCGCTTCCAGCAGAACTCAAGAACAAAGTCGTTCGACTGGTGCTGAAATTCCCGACCAAAGTCAGGATTGCAGCCACCACTTTCACCAATGAAGACTGGACAGAAGAGCAGTGGGATCAATATCTGAGCCCGTCGGAGATCATGCCATATTCTACATACAAGTTCTCGTCACATGTGAAGGTGCCGAGGTCCATGGTTCCTTTCAACGCCGCCGCAGTCCCGGGACCTCATTACTACTGGACAATGGAGCCTCCTGAAATTATGCTAGCACTTTTGGCAGTCAACAAAGAGATGCACAAAATTAGCAAACCCGTGTTCTACGGCGAAAACTACTTTGAGATCAAGGATGGCATTTTGGGTCTTCCCCAACATAACTTTCAGGAAGGAAGTTCCATAAATGGCACCCAGCTAGCGCATCGCTTCCTTGAGCTCATGAGTTGGCCGAAGGCTCACGATGGTACTTCTCGATACGGTCCCCGCCCGCTGGAGTTGATGCGCAAGATCAATGTTGATATGGAGCTTTACCCAAATGGTTGCGGCGAGATTCCCGGACAGTACGCATGGCATTTCGAGCGCATAATCAACACCTTGATTACGATCCCCCGTCTCCAGAAGCTCGTCATCAACGTCCGCATGGGGTTGTTGGACGTTCTCGGAAATATCTCGCCAAACAAGGAGAAGATCAACCCGTTCACCAGCCCAGAAGCGTGGCCAGGATGGCGCAAGCTACCTTGGGCAGCATCCGCAATTCCTGTTGAGAACGGAGAAGATGGGAAGTCAGCGGCCGGACTCAAGGTCTTCGTCCCCGAAAACCGCAGTGTGGAGAAATGGCTTCAAAAGCTCATCGACATGCCTGATGAGGCGCTAGCAAAGATCATTTACGTCATACCCGAGGATTGGTCTACAGCGGAGTGTCCTTCAGTGCTGATTACTCAGGGCTTACAGAAAGCTGACCAACGCTGGAGGAAGGCCTTCAAGGACGACAAGGTCATGGAAGGAGACGAGAGCACTGAGCATGGAACCGACGGTACTGAAGAAGCTGAGGCTGTGGTCAGCGTGGCATAGTGAGTCTAGGAGCGAACACGAGCAACGAAGGGAGGATTGGTGAAAAATTCTAGGACCAAATCTGTAGATAGCGGCAAAGGGATACACAACTACTGAAGCTAGTTGTTGAGTACATCGATCGGAGAATATAGGCTAGCAACAGCCTCGTAGTCAACTTGTTAGCTGGTATTGGACCCTGTAATTCAACCTCACCCTCGCCGTGCAGCCTCTCAGTGCAGGTATGTCGCGGCTGGACCGCCCAAACTGCGCAGCAGGCGCGCGTTGCCCCTGCCATCTTCTTCGAAATGTGCCGCCACTCTTGTGCGTTTCGCTGACTGGGCGTTCGCGGTCGATGTTGCTGACGGTTTCCACGCCCGGGACCGCGGTTGCACAAGGAGCCGGTGTTCTGCCGGTGGGGACGTGCGTCTCTGGACATTCGGACATTGCGAAACACCGTAAGCCATTGTTCAGATGCCGCGTGCACACTATCAGCCGGACAACGTGTTCGCTTCGTACAGAGCTTTCCGCGTTGCGATGTCCGAAAATTGATTGTTCTCTAGCGAAGGAGAGGCGAGGCTGAGCCATGGCCTGAACAACCCAACAGGTGCCCGCATAATACACCTCCAGCTGCATGCCGTCTGACGACCGTGAAATCGATGTTTCAAGGCCGCACATTCAAGAAGCAGTGACAACCTTGCGAAGATCATCGGCCTAGACAAAGAAGTTTGCGCCAAGATTGGAAGATTGCTATTCGGCCATACGTTGCGGAAAGTCTGTCCAAAATCCAGAAAGGCCTCATTGTTGTACGAAGACGATGATAGCGCGCGGAAAGCTGCGTCGGCCTTGGTGAACGAGACAGCTGCGGACGGCTCTCCAATTTCGTGTCGTTTTATCGCGGCCTACAATCTATCGCTCGTGAAATCCTGCTCAACCAGTATGATGCGCGAGCGATGCGCTACGCTGGCATCTCATCTCGTCCTGGTGGGCCTCGGGGGTGTGGGTAGACAAAGTACCTAGTAAGACCGGCACTAGTACAACGTACGACCCGGAAACCAAGCTTCCGGTACGACATCTGTAGGAACAATCAGGCCTACCCAGGTATATAATTGTTAGAAATGTTTCAAACATAATAGGACAACGGTCGACATCGAATACTGCACCCGACGCCTGGATCCAAACCTCATGGCCTATCTTATTGCTGGGTTAGTGACAATAGCGTCGCTATTCATTGCTTCCCAACTATGGCATTTCACCAACAACTATCGGGCAGCTCGCGCGACTGGACTACCTATCATCTTATGTCCTTATGACCCCGATAGCGTAAGTTACCGATCCTCCTCTTGCAATATGTACTTGAAGCAACCTGCATACCCTTGCCCGTCTCTTCAGACGCAACTATTCGAAACTAATCATACTTTCAGGCGTTCTGGTCCATATTCTGCGTCCCTCTACGCCCCATTCTTCGCTCTGTCCTTCCCAAATCTATATTCGCTACCGTAGAACTTAGCATCTGGGGCTGGGAATTCCGGGAGAAAGCAGCGATCCACGAGAAGCTGGGACCTGTCTTCGTCGTTGTTACTACGGGACTCAATCGGCTTGTTTGTGCGGACCCGTCCATGGCCCATACCATCATGTCTAGAAGGAGAGACTTTGTTCATCCAGACATTACCACCGAGACCATGGGGTTCTTGGGTCCAAACATTGTAACTGTAAGTGGATTGCTCACGCTGTTTATCGTGACTGACGCATCTGTCCAAGGCCAAAGATGAGTCCTGGTCCCGCCAGCGCCGTATCGTCGCCCCGGCTCTGAACGAACGCATTAGCCCAGAAGTGTGGAGAGTGAGCGTAGAACAAGCATCCTCCATGGCAGACCTCTTACCCTCAGTCTCCCCACCTGATGCTGCCAAGGGACCCGCCAAGATAGTTCTTGGTCTTCGTACGATTGCGATGAACGTTCTCGGTCGAATCGCGTATGGGCATGACAAACCATTCGCTTTATCTCAACCGTCGATCAAAGCATCCGCAGACATCTCATACGTAGATGCTATTGCTTTGGTCACTGACAAGCTCATCTACGCTGCATTTCTTCCTGCCAGCTTTCTAGGCTTGCCCTTCATGCCGCAAATATCGCAGCGATTAGGTACAGCGCTGAAGCGATTGCCAGGGCTAACACAAGACATGCTCAATCAAGAGCGCCAGAACAGTGCTTCTACATCGCCGCATGTCACGCAGACCACCGAAAGCCCGAACAACAGTCGAGGCACCATCATGGAGGAACTTGTCCGCCTTTCAGACCAGGAGAAGATCCGGACAGACGCTTCAACACCTGAGTCGTTGGACAAGGTTACCAAGAAGTTTCTCACCGAGGAAGAAATCGCAGGAAACCTCTTCATCTTCACCGCTGCTGGCTTTGACACGACCGCAAACACAATGTCCTACGCCGTCGCGCTGCTCGCAGTGTATCCGGAGTGGCAAGCCTGGATCCAGACCGAGATCGATACTGTGCTTGGGGGACCTGACATGTCGCCAATAGACTATGCAAGTGCATTCCCGAAACTTGTTCGCTGTTTAGCTGTTATGGTAAGCTATCCAATATCGACATACTGCCATCCTCGAACGGCATCCTTCAAGGACGGCTAGCTGTCTAGCCTCTACTCCATTTGAAGCTCGGTACTGACGGTTCCACAATGTAGCTCGAGACCCTGCGCCTCTACCCGCCCGTAACTCTCCTCATGCGATCCATAACCACGAGTCAGAACCTTGCCTTCGCAGACACGTCATTCCAGATCGCGGCTCCGTCCACCATCTACGTCAACACAACGGCACTGCATACTTCACGCTCAACATGGGGCTCTGATGCCCTGTCCTTCAACCCCGCACGCTGGCTACAACCCGACACACCAGAGCCCACGCTCATCACACCTGCGCAAGGAACCTTTATGCCGTGGTCTGTCGGTCCGCGTGTATGCCCTGGGCAGAAGATGTCGCAGGTAGAATTTGTAGCGGTTATTGCGACGCTGTTTCGTAGATGTAGTGCGCTACCAGTTGTCCGTGAGGGGGAAAGTACAGAATTGGCGAGACAGCGCTTGCTCCATTTGTTACAAGACAGTCAGCCGGTGTTGACGCTGCAGATTAATAAGCCTGAGGACGTTCATATACATTGGGCTAAGCGATGAGTAGCTTAGTGGTGGTACGTCGAGCAGAAGACGAGATGCAGTGTATGAGCAAGATACATGATGTATTGGTATTCGTTGTAAATAGTACCGAAGTAGACTTCTCTTACTTAACTTCGCACTAGATTGGGTCAGAAGATGTGATGTTTGTGCTCATCAAGATCGCGCTCCTCGCGCACCGTGCAATGCGTTTTTGGTGTGACATCTATGTCAAAGGTCCCAAGCTAACAAAGCTTAGAGATGCAGCCATTGTTACAGCTCTGTTGCTGATACGGGGTAGGGACTGATTTCCCCTTCAACTAACCCCTTTGCCCATCTCATGAACAGAAACACGCACGCCGATATCGTGAACGCCTGGGTCGCGATGAGGGTGGCTTTTCCTTTCTTGGTGCGAAGATTCGGTCGCGTTAACACACCGACCACATCGTCAACCAGCGCGACATATGCCGTAAGATTGAGGATACGATCAACAAGAGGAACGACTTGTTGCAACATGGGTGTATCGAAGGATACGAAGAAGCGGACGAACCAGCTACCAAGTATCCACGTCAGAGCGATCAGGAATTCCGAACGCCTTTGTCTTGTACCCACAGGACGTTCCCCAATCCATTGGTCGGCGCCATAGCTGCCAAGTATGTCTACTAAGTATTGTATGACGTTTGGTGGTGTACCGAATAGCCGACCGTAGGTTGCGATAACGCCTGCGCGATAGAGGTCGTTCTTGCGTGTGAATCGGATGGATTGCTTCAGAGTAGGTTCGGGTCGGTTCGACGGGTAGAAGGAGGATGCTACGAGGTACGCCGGTATAGCGAAAGACACTACAAGTGGCAGACTGTTCCCGCCGGTCGTAAAGCCAGTGGCCTGAGCGATGGCTGGTGACAAGAAAACAGCGAAAGGGCTAGCAATCAAGGGGGCGTATAGGTGAGCATATCGGCGCCAGGCGGCAATGGCATAGTCTGCTTCTCCAGTGTCTGGTGCATGTGCTGCTGGAGTAGTTGGAGGCTGCTGTGGCAGTCCTTCACTATCGTGGGTGTTCATGGCGAAAGGGATGGAACACGACGCGGTAAGCTTCGTGTGCTGGGCATCTCTTGGCTTGGGAAGCGTCATCGCGCACAGACACAACTTTGGAAGCTGCCCCTTTCGCTGAGCACCTGGGCAGCCATCATCACCACCTTGCCACCCCAACGGAGCTCATATGCTGCACATTTGTCAAGGGGCATCTCGTTATCGGCCATTACCTTAACGCGCCGCCTGTCGCGGGTCCAGTTGATGTTCTGCACGCACACCCCACTATACAGGCCCGAATCTCGCATTCCACGGGTGGCACGCGCGTGGATGGCATGCATATAGCCACTCTTCCCCAACGCTATCACCAACGTCTGCCAGAGCACACACCAGATGCTCATGCAAGTAACATCTGATGCGACGCGGTGCGACCCAGTCGTAGACCATGAAAGTGCCGGCAGGGTCTGAGATCGCCCATGAGCCCGGGATGCTTCAACAGGCAGCTGCTAACCACCGAGGCATCGTTGCAACGCCAGTCAAGCCATGTTCATTTCTTTTGAACGCGATGACCAGATCCATGGTAGGATGTGAGGTCGAAAATCGCGCATCACTATAGGCTGAGCTCGCAGAAGCTTGATTTCGCGTGTCGTAGCGTGGCTGTGTAGTTCTACGAAAATCGCTCATGGCTAACCGTCAACAGCTCAGACAAACGCAGTCGCCAATGGCAATTCTTGGGCGCATGGGAAAAGGTCCGACGGGATACCTCCGACGCTTACGGTTTACCTGTTGCAGGACCCTGGCCCCATCTTGGATTGTATGAGGTATTTGTGCGTCGAATCGCTTCAGGTTGACTATGACAAAGACGAGGAGGACCTGGTACCACACTCGTGGTGTTATTCTACGTAGCTATGATTACGATGGAGCTTTTACGGCATGGAAATCCTACCAAGGCCGCCCAGCACGTGTTTGACGCGCTGCTAGAGCTTTCGAAGGCACGCTGCTCGTAAAGACGGCAGATGGCTTTCGTCTGTCTCGCGGTATAAGTCGCGCTTCACGCATCACTCAATCTTGTGCTACCTCTCCTCGTACTTCTCAGCTCATTCGCATCTTTTTTGCACACTCCCGGTCGTACTTCCCGGGGTATCGATCTGTGTTTTCCACAGGTTCGCACATGGACCAGGAAGAAAAGGTCGCTCCTCGCGTCCGTTTCGGAGAGCTACGCCTTCCCGACGAAGAAGATGGTTACGCGACCCACGAACGTCGCCATGAGCGCAATCTGTCACGACGCTCAAGTGTGGGCAGCCTGTCCATCCGCAGTGCCGGAGGAGCGCGCACTGTACAGCCAGAGACTGCACTCCCCATCACCTGTGAGTAGCTACCCCATATGACTTGCTTGTGAAACATCCACTGATTCCTGATGCGAACATTCAGACCGTACTCTTTCTATCGAGATTGACGAGGACCAACATAAGAAGCAGGATGAGGTGAAGAGGGCGAAGGAGAAGGCCGCCGTTGGTGAGTTTATCGAATGGAAACCACAGCAGCGTATACTAATGCCGATTCTGCAGATCTGGCAGACCTCGAATGGCATACGCTTGCCGTTCATGAGCTGTGTCGCCGCCTCTCCGTCGACATCGACCAGGGCCTTTCTGGCGATCAGGCCAAGCGTCGCATTAGCGAACACGGCCAGAACAAAATGACACCTCCCCCATCAGGGCTACTCAAGAAGATAATAGGCTACTTCTTTGGTGGTTTTGGTAGCATCCTCGTGGTTGCTGGTATCTTGGTGTTCGTCGCATGGAAGCCTCTCGGTAAACCGCCAGCGGTTGCGAACCTGGCGCTTGCCTGTGTACTGATCGCTGTCTGGCTCATCCAAGCTGCCTTCAATGCATGGCAAGACTGGTCCACAAGCAGAGTGATGGCATCTATTGGAACCATGTTGCCCGATCAGTGCATTGTCGTGCGCAATGGATCACACGTTAGCATCTCGGCCTTGGATCTGGTGCCTGGCGACATCATCGTCATCAAGCAGGGCAACAAGCTACCCGCTGATGTTCGGTTCGTCGACATATCAAGCGATTCCATGTTCGATCGCGCAATCCTCACTGGTAAGTAAAACCTAGACACATCACTTGAGCACGAGGACTAACGTGTGCTAGGCGAGTCTGAGCCCGTCGCAGCTACCATCGAAGCAACCGAAGACAACTATCTCGAGACCAACAACATCGGATTGCAAGGCACCCATTGCATCTCAGGCGCCTGTCTTGGCGTGTGCGTTGCAACTGGCGACAACACTATCTTCGGTCGTATCGCAAAGCTTACCTCGGATCCAAAGACTGGCATGACCCCTCTTCAGAAGGAGATCCTACGCTTTGTACTCATCATCTCGCTATTCATCACATGCGTCGTTATTCTCATCGTGGTTCTTTGGTATGTTTGCGGCTGGTCTCGAGCAACATGCCTATGCTTGGCTATCTATGAGCTGAGAGATTTGTACTTACGCATTGCAGGGCTGCGTGGCTGAGGAAGTCTCACCCTACCTGGATTGACGTACCTCTTCTCATCGTCAGTTGCGTCTCGTGCGCCGTTGCATGTACGTACTTCCTGGCAGATCCTTTTTGTTGTACATGTGCTAACTTATCCTTCCTCCTTTAGTCATTCCCGAAGGCCTACCGATCGCACTCACTACGAGCTTGACCATCGTCGCGAACATCATGCGCAAGAACAAGATCCTTTGCAAGTCTCTCAAGACTGTTGAGACACTTGGTTCTGTTTCGGTCATTTGTTCAGACAAGACCGGAACGTTGACCAAGAACAAAATGGTCGTCACGGACATCTATGCAGCAGGCGAAGAGTACACTACGGATGCGGCGCGTGATATGATGGCAGTCTTCCGATCCGAACAGAATCTTTCCGTACTCTCCAAGGCCAAGACAAACATCATGGATCAAGTCCGCATGCTCGGCGGTCTCTGCAACTCCGGTGAATTCGATGCCGCTACAATGCATCTTCCCATTGCGGAGCGCAAGATCAACGGCGATGCAACTGATCAGGCTATACTTCGACTTTCCGAGTCTCTTGGGTCAGTGGCTGAGTTGCGTCGCGACTGGAAGAAGGTTTTCGAGATTGCTTTCAACAGCAAGAACAAGTTTATGGTTCGCTTGATGACGCCGGCAAACCAGACGCCAACGAGCAACAACGCCACTCTCATGATCAAGGGAGCCCCTGATATCCTCCTACCTCGATGCGATCTCATCCTGAACGAGAAGGGTGAAGAGATACCGCTTACCGACGCACAACGCCTCCGTATCGACACCGTCAAAGACAGCTGGTCTCGCCAGGGAAAGCGCGTCATACTGCTCGCTCGCAAGCCGACTATTGTCCCCTTCTCCGCCAACCATGAGAAGGAAGTGTTGGTCGCGGCCCGGGAAGGTCTTACGTTCGTCGGCATCGTAGGCATCG